ACAAGCGCAAACAAGGGGAAATGATGGGTGATAGTGCTGGGAGACTCTCATCTAAGAGGTACAGAGGCACCCATTTGCTGACCAGACCCTTACTCTAGAGAGGTCTGTTGCTTGCTAGGGGTTCACATAAGGGACATCAATGAAAGGCTACCCAAACTTGTACATTCCACTGACTGCTATCCACTCCTGCTGTTTCATGTGGGTTCCAGTGATATAGCAAGGAGCAATCTGAAGATCATGAAGAAAGATTACAGAGCCCTGGGAGCAGCAGTGAAGGACTTGGGAGCACAGATAGTCTTCTCATCAATCCTTCTGGTCAAGGAGATTGGACTTGAAAGGGCAAATCGCATTGGGAAAATCGATAAATGGTTACAACAGTGGTGTCACGGCCAGGGCTTTGGCTTTCTAGACCACAGGTAAGAGATGCCCTGAGCTTCAAGATGGATCACAGGCCAGCAGAAGAATACCTGAAATGAAGGATAATGGAATCCCAGGTAATGAGGCAACTTCAATGAGGGCTCAACTTAAATGCCTCTAAGAAAATGCATGCAGCATGGGAAACAGGCAAGAGGAGCTGCAAATATGGGCAAACCTGTAGGGCTATGACATTATTGGCATCACTGAGACGTGGTGTGATGACTCCTACCTCCTCTGAGACCAGGAGCAATGCACCCCACAAAAGAGGAAGGCAGGCAAGAATGTCAGGAGACCTGCATGGATGAAAAAAGAGCTCCTGGAAATTATCTTAGATGAAAACAGAAAGTCTTCAGAGGATGAAAGCAGGGACAGGTAGCCTGGGAGAAATACAAACAAGTTTTCCAAGAAGCCAGGGATCTGGTTATGAAAGCTAAAGCCCAGACAAAGTTAAAACTGGCCAGGGACATCACGGATAATAAGAAGGGTTTATACAGGTACATCAGTGATAAGAGACAGAACAGGGGAAATGTGAGCTCTCTGCAGAAGGAAACGGGAGACCTCGTCATGCAGGATATGGAGAAGGCTGAAGTACTGAAGAACTTTTTTGCCTAAGTCTATACTGGCAAAGGCTTTGGCCACACAGTCCAAGCAACAGAATGCAAAGGCAGAGAGTGGGAAAAGGAAGATCTGCCCACTGCAGGAGAAGAGCAGGTTCAAGACCATCTAAAGAACCTGAAAGTGCACCAGTCCATGGGACCAGACAAAATCCACCTGCGACTCCTAAGAGAGCTGGATGAAGTTGCAACACTGCTTTCCATCATATTTGAAAAGTCATGGCAGTTTGGTGAAGTTCCCACTGACTGGAAAAGGGGAAATGAAACCCTCATTTTCAAAAAGGGAAGGAAAGAAGACACAGGGAACTACATGCCAGTCAGTCTCACCTCTGTGCCAAGCAAGATCATGGAGCAGATCCTCCTGAAGGCTCTGCTACGGCTGATGGAAAATGTGGAGGAGGTTGGTGGTAACCAACAAGGCTTCACCAAGGGCAAAATATGCCTGACAAATTTAGTGGCCTTTTATCATAGTGTCAGTGGACAAGGGAAGAGCAACTGATGCCATCTACCTGGACTTATGAAAAAAGGGTCCAATACTGTCCCACATAATTTTGGTCTCAAAATTGGAAGGATATGGATTTGATAGATGGACCACTCAGTGGATAAGGAACTGACTGGACAGTCACACTCAGAGAGTAGTGATCAATGGCTTGATGTTCAGATGGAGACCAGTGATGAGTGGGGTTCCTCAGGGGTCAGTATTGGGACCGGTGCTGTTTAACAAAATGGACAGTTAGCAAAATGGACAGTGGAATTGAGTGCCACCTCAACAAGTCTGCTGATGACACCAAACTATGTGGTGTGGTTGACACACTGGAGAGAAGAGATGTGAGCCAGAGGGACCTTGACAGTCTTGAGAGGCCCCTGCCAACCTCATGAAGTTCTACAAGGCTCAGTGCAATGTCCTGCACATGGGTTGGGGCAACGCCAAGCACAATACAGGCTGGACAGAGAATGGATTGAGAACAGCCTTGAGAAGAAAAGACCTGGTCTTGTTGGTTGATGAAAAGCTCAACATGGGCCAGCAATGTGTGCTTGCAGCCCAGAAAGCCAACCATGTCCTGGGCTGCATCAAGAGAAGCATGGCCAGAAGGTCGAGGGAGGTGATTCTGCCCATTTACTCCACTCTTGTGAGACCCCATCTGGAGTACTGTGTCCAGTTCTGGAGCCATTGACACAAGAAGGGCATAGAGCTCCTGGAGCGAGTCCAGAGAAGGGCCACAAAAATGATGAGAGGGCTGGAGCACCTCTCCTACAAAGACAGGCTGAGAGAGCTGGGGCTGTTCAGCCCGGAGACGAGAAGACTCCATGAAGACCTCATAGTGACCTTCCAGCACCTGAAGGGGCCTACAGGAAAGCTGGGGGAGGGACTTTTTACAAGGGTGTGTAGTGAGAGGACAAGTGGTAATGGCTTTAAGGTGGAAGAGGGTAGATTTAGGTTACATGTCCCTACACATGCAGTGAGGTTGGAACTAGATGATCTTAAAAGTCCCTTCCAACCCAAACCATTCTATGATTCTACGACTTTGCAATATATTAATAGTTATTTGCATAAATGTATTTTTATTTATGTATGTTATTTGCTAATAGTTATTTGCATAAAACTAGATACAATTTTATATAGAATTCTTTATCAAAATAATTCAAATTAGTATCATTAATGGTAAATAGCTAGGAAAAACATCTCTGCACCAAGGAACGAGGCATAGATTCAGGATAGCTGCTAATAGCTTTGGTTTTACCCCTTTGATTTCAGAGATTTTACCTCTGCATATATGAGGTACTATAGCTCAGTCAAGGATTGTTGGGATTTTTCACAATCCATTTCATCTCCTGCTCATAGGTGACTGGAATGCTATTATCCAAATCAGTTGGCAATTCACCAGCTCTAGTGAATTTACACCATAGATAAATTTGGTGCATAAAGTCAGTCTGAGACCCTCTTACATGTTGATACAAACATGAATAGTAAATAGCACACGTCTACAGGTTTGTATTATGTTTCATTAAATAGCTTGCAAACTCATTTTAGGCATACATTGATCCAGAAAAAACAACAAAGTGATTTATTTTTGTTAGATTTCAAGAAAGAAATTTAACAAAAATGGTGTGTTTGAATTCAAGCAGCGTGCTTACAAAAACAAGTGTAAAAATATCAACACCAAGGAACATATTTGCTCTCTGTGAATATATGAAATATAAAGCAATATAATTAATCCCTTCCTTAAAATCTCACAACTCTAATTTACCATGATTTTTCTTTGTGGTTTTCTGAAACACAGCAATGTATACAGCCCACAGAGAACCATTTGTATTTGAAATGTTTCTCTGTGTGGCTGTTTTACATTTAAGGAATGACAATAAATGAGGTTATATAATCACATCATCCTATTTATTATAAGTACAATATTTTATTAAAGGGTTAAATTCAGATACCATTCTCCAGACAGAATTTGCCTTAGAAATAGTCAGTAAGCCTACATCAAAAAGTGACTAATTTTTCAACTAGTTTTTCACTTCATGTTTTTGGAAGCAATACTATGAAATAAAAGTAAACAGAATTAGCTCTCTTGCTTTTATAACATAATTAAAATGTTAGCCTATAAGACCCCATTCCTACAGACAATTTAAAGACATCACTAATTTTTGCAAGTTATTTAAAGGACTCTTACGGGTCTGCTAAGAGCATGACAACTGTGGTAGACCTACCCATTCTGCTTTTCCTTGCAAACAAAATATCACAGTTTCAGTTATTATGGGACATAATCATGGACAGATGGCTGGGTATAACACAGGCTTTCATGCATAAGCACACAGAGATATACACATGGGCATATAGACTGCTTTGTTTGGGGTTTTTTAACTGGAGAGCATTTGTTCATTATTTGATCATTTTCATATGGATGCTTTTGTGGGTAATAACAGGTATCGATAAGCTATCAACCACTACTTTATACTTTAAAGTAAGTCTGAGCACTTACATTTGCATCATTATCATCACACTCCTTAGACAACAGTACTCCCGTGTTTCCAAGCAATCAATAGTTTTGAGTGTAAGCTGAGGGCTTTTTGCTATATACACAAAAACGCCTAGCTTTGAAGGAAACCTGCTACTCTCAACACAAAACTTTGAAGAGTTCACATTCTGTCCAGGATAAAAAAGCAGATTAGTTAAACTAAAACGACAGTTGAGCTGTTCAGATGGGTTTTTTTTAAGCCATATATAGAAAAACTACTGTCCTGGTATTTGAGGGAGAAAATTTATGAATAGAAAAAAAAACAACAACTCTCCTATGCTTTTTCTTTCCCTTTGCAGTTGATAATGCCTCAGGTTGCATACAAAAATCATTGTATCATCACTGATCACTGGGTACTACTGCATATATATTCTAACATAACTTTTTAAAGTGTGAAGTCTATTCCAGTAAAAAATCCCCAACATTTTGGTAAAAAATATCACCTGCTATACGAATAACCATAGTCTCTCTAATTTGAAAACCATAGCACACAAAGCGAGGCAAAGAATAACAAATTTTACAGATAATTTAATAGAATGTCATGCTGTACTAACTTATGGGAAATAAAGGTCCATTTTTCAGATGTTAATTTTTGTACAAGTGGTTTCTAAAATGAAGGCATTTTGCTCACTCTTAAGGCTCTTTCCTTCTTTGTGCCAGACTTATTCAGTAGCAAAAATACTACTAAGGTTAAAAATTAAAGTAGAGAATTCTTGCTGTTCTGGACAGTACAAACTTCTGTAAATACTTTCTATGTAAGTATTACTATCTCCATTACAAAAAATGCAATTGTTTACAGAGCTGACCAGAATACAGAAAAAGTAGGTTCAACAATGACATGTATTTCAGATGAACTACATATGCATTGGTAGCACAAAAAGGTACATATGCACATATAAATGCATGGTGGAGCAGAAATTTTAAATAGTATAAAATTCACTTTGACTCTTACCAGAAAAGACACTGGGGATCTTGGAAAGAAAACTTTTGACTGTACGAATAGGAATCCCATTTTTCTCATCTTGCATGCGGGCTATGACATCTTCCATCTGAATACAGAGAAAAAAAATGAAAGAAAGAATAAAGAAATCCAGAATTATTTCCTAAAAGTAAATTATTTGAGAAACCCCAGGTCAATCCCTCAGAATGAAAGGTCCACTCTTGCTTTTTTTTTTTTCAACTTCTAATTTATATTTTGTATTTTTATTGAACAGGCTACAAAACTGGAAGCAATTTATTCATGGACAGCAATAAAAAAAAAATTATGTGCTCCAAGTCTCTTGAGAAAGAAAGAGCAAGGTTGAAAAAAAAAGGTTTAGTTAAAGTTGCTAAAAGTAGCTAAAAGAAGTAGTTAAAAACTATTGCTGAATACAGAACTTCATGTTTGATTATATTACTGGTATTGTGCCAAATATAGACTCATGCAGCCTTCTGGGGGACTGACACAGTTTTCAAAAATGCTGTTCAGAACAAAAATAGTTCTTTGAAGTTCAAAGCAAAAATTCCTTTTCCTTTGAGAAAGGGGAAAAAAGCACAACGTTATGCATTTTTTTTACATTTTTACATTGGCTAATTTTTTCCAACTCAATTTTTTAGGCTAATTCAGTCAGTACATTTTATAAATTATGCCCAACACAAAGATTCACTTTCATGTGAACTAGGAGCAGCGAGCCCTTTTAGTGGAAAATGTTAAGAACATTTAGATAGAGTAATTGTCTCACAATGCAAGTTTTTGTTCTTGCACATAATATAATTCAAGTTTACACATTAGATTACTTCTGTCTTTCTCTAAATATCTAGCTTCTCAAATGTTCAATGATATTGTGATGAAATTAATTACAACTATCCCTCCTTTTCCTTAAATCACTAACATACTCCATTTGAAAAACAATTTGTGACAGAGCATTTTCAATTATTTTACTAGTTGAGTCATAAAAAAAGAATGTCTATCACACCTCTGTGTCCCCAGTAGGTACAAAGAGAATTTACTGAAAGTTTGTAGCTGGGTTGTGTTATGGAAAGAGACAAAATTCTGTTGTACACCTTTTTCATAGAAGTCAGATGACACAAATCAGCAGTAGTTGCAACAGTCAATTAATTGGCCCAATGGGGAAGCTGTACAGAGCCATGAAAGGGAAAGCAAGCTGGGAGTGTGTACACGTAGGGAAAAAGAACAAAAATCCATATAAAAAATGAAACCAAAACCAACTAGTTCAACTGCTCATGAAAAAACTGTATACAAAGAGTGTCTGGAGGTTGACACGTTCCATGTACTTACGGATCATATAATAACAACTGAGATGGCACAAATCCACTGGCTTAGTCCAAAATGTAAATTACATATAATAAGTAGATATTGTTGGCATATCACACAGCAAGAGGTGGAAGATGGAGTGTATTGCTCACAATTAAGAAATGTACAAATGTAACAGAAGAAAATAATCAATGTTCATTGTAATGGCTTTCATCTGACATGGATTTTAATTATTTAAAAAGAAAAGGCTGTTAATAGTGTTCTGAAGGAATTTTCAAGCAGACACACTCTTGTCCGTGAAATGGAATCTGTCCATACATTTACTATTTATATAATGGTGAAGGCTTGTTTCAACCCCTTCTAAGTTCAGTAACTTATAAATTGTCTTATTGATCCCTTAAATGAACAAGAAGTCTCTCAAACTCCAGTGATTATTTTTTTTTTTCTTACAACAATATAGTAACTTATAACCATAGTTGCATTGTCTTCTATGGAAACAAACAGAAGTCAATTTGATGATAAATTCACACAAGGGAAGCTTATGAGAATATTGCCAGAACTGCAGAGGGAATAACGATGAATGTTATACTGGGACAAAGTTTTTAAGACAACTCATATACAAGGCAATGTGATAAACGCATGTTTATGTTATAACAAGGATTACTACAAATATAGGACAAAATCCTGGAACATAGCATTACTGGTAGTGATATCCAGTTACCTCTTTCTCAGGAGTGCACAAGTCTGCTGACTTTCAGTGCCCACCATTCCTAGTGCTGTCAGGAGTAGGTCTTTTGAGGCTATATGAAATAAACTGTTAAATTGCTATGCTTTCCTAAACTTGCTTCATGGACAAGATTTAATCTAAAATGTACAAAACCTAACTCAGATAGGGACTGTGGCTCTGGGGGAGTTACTTGGTTTTAATTAGCCAAGTGAGCTCTAGGACGTCTGCAAAATTACACATTCCCTTGCACATCTAGTTCACATTATTGGTCTGTGTCAGGAGTGAACACCCTCTGTGGAAAAAGCAGCTCATGCTCCAGATAGCATCATTGTGAACTGACTGGTTAATTCAATGTACAAAGATTACTGCCTAAATGAGTGGGGATGTTCTGAAACAAGATATAAAACAACAGCAGATTCCAAACAATTTAGAGTTGACCTGGGATTCTGTATGTTATCTGTTAGGCTGAAATTCTTATTTGTCTTTTCTCTTTTTGGGCAGAAATCTAAAAGATCACCTCTGTTTTGTGGACATTTTAAATCTTGAACAAAAGAACTCAAAAAAATGAAGTGCAAATTTAGGGGAAAAAAAATCTTAATTTAAAGATTCAAAGCTATCTCATCCAATATATGTAGGTGCAAAGTTTAACTTTCAAAATACATGGTCCCTATTTCTGTTTTAGCTGCTTCAAATTCAGCAAATGTATAAGCTCTTCCACTGAAAAATATCTCCTAATTTAGTTAGATTTGGAAAGCAGCACTCAAGGCATTTCTATGTCATTCATCAACAATGATCTAAGACAATGAAAAGGACAGAATAGTTTAATTAGAATGAAAAAAACAAACAACAAACTTCATCTAGTTTTGCTCTAGAAGTCTATTCCAGGAAGCACAAACTGCTGCCTCATACAATAATCTTCCTTATGATACATCGTTTGCTTCTGAGTCACCTGACCCAATGCTCAAAAATTAACTGTAAGCTCCTTTACTTCACCACAGAATTAGGTTTACAGGTTTTTTTATGTGCTTACCTGGCTAAAGCTGACTGGCTCAGATCATGCAATGGGATCTTCTTTAGTCCTATACTTTCTCAAAGAACTCAAAGAAAATTGTCAGTGTGCTGGAGCACCTCTCATATGAAGACAGGCTGAAGGAGTTGGGATTGTTCAGTCTAAAGAAGAGAAGACTCCAGGGGGACCTCACAGCAACCTTCCAATACCTGAAGGGGGCCTATAAGAAGGCTGGGGAAGACCTGTTCACTAGGGCACATAATGATAGGACAAGGGGTAATGGTTTCAAGCCAGAGAAGGGTAGATTTAGGTAGGACATGAGGAAAAAGTTAATATGAGGGTGGTGGATTGCTGGAACAGTTTGCCTAGAGAGGTGGTGGAGGCCCCATCCCTGGAGACATGCAAGGTCAGGCTTGAGGGAGCTCTGGGCAATCTGGTCTAGTTGGAGATGTGCCTGCTTATTGTACAGGGGTTGGACTAGATGACCTTTATAAGTCTCTTCCAATCCAAGACATTCTATGATTCTGTGAAATCCACAAGTAACTACCTCCTGATCACTCTGCAAATGAAGGTCAATGTGCTGGAGAAAAGGAAGTTGTATAAGCACATCTTTCAGCTTTTCAGTCATCACTGCACACAATTAACAGGGAAAGAATACCTAGAAGGAAGTTTACAACATAGCAAGGATTCTACAGGAGTATTTCTAAATAAATGTATGTTTCAAAAACTGCACCTTTGTTTTACCAGTGAGGCAGTTCCAACCCTGACAAATTTGAATTCCATTTCTAATTATCCACACGTCCTGCAAAAAATTGCCCCCTTGCACCGCAATTCAGCATCACTGTTTTTTAAGAGGTGAGGTTTTTTAATTAATTCAAAGACAAAAGCTGAAAGCTCAAAAAGTTTGTCAGCGTAGGACAAGAGTTTTTTCTTCCCTTAAAAGTGAGCCTCAATACACTCCCCATAAAGACAGTCACTAGATAGAGAAAGCAATGGTCTATATCAAGGTTTAATGTTGGGCCAGCAACTGAACAAATTACAGATGCTCTGTATTTACCCCTCTTCCTTCCCAGAAAGGGAAAGGAAAGAGAATAAGGGACAAGGACTTACGGGTGGGAAACTAAACTACACAGCTTCAGCAAAACAATAACAATTAAAAATAAACCAGTGAGATTTATATAAATATAAGCTATACCACTATCATGCTCCCTGCCCCCCAGTAATGCTCAAGTCACCACTGAGGCTTCAGAGCAAGCTCTGGGAAGGTCCTGGACTGGACTCCTGGATTCAGTGGCAGACAGGAGGTGGATTTGGGAATGCACAGATCAGGATCAAAGGCAGAAGAAGAGATGGAGTCTTCCCAGAAAGCCAGCCATGGATGAAAAGAGCCTGACCCTTTTGATCCCTCACCTTTATACAAAATATGATGTGTATGTGATGGAATACTTTGGTCAATTTTGGGTCATTTATCTGCTCTCCTCCTCCTCCTGAGAGGAGGGTCACAGGTGTGACCTGTTTGCCTCCATTTCCAATGCACGAAAGTTTAGAAGAATCAAGCAGTGGCCTTGGTTTTGAATACCATTCTCCAGTGACAACTATAAACATGCAACATTATCAGTCCTAGAAGCAGACACTGACAAAAAATATTCTGTTAATTTCAGAAAGTGCAGTTATTTAGAAGAGAACTGTCTGAAAAGTAAAACTACTACAAAAACTGGTTCTGTCGTGGCTTAAACCAGGACAGTTTGGAACTAATTAAAGTTCAAGAGATATACTGTGAAAGTTTGAAGCCTTAACATACTTACACATTTACAGATACCTTAATTCCATTTCTCCTATTAAATAAATTTCAGTGGCAGGGAATTAAAAGTATAGCCAGGAATACTAGAATGAAATAGCAAAATTTTGTACTCAATTATCTTACCTCAGAACGGAAGGTTGCTCTTATGTTGAGTGTCCTGGGTCCACCCATACTACAGTTTTGTTAATTTTGCTAAAATCTTCTTCATTTTATCCAAATGCAGGGGTGGAATAATCCAGTGGCACTAACTCATTCAAA